GTTTTTTTTTTTTTTATTTATTTATTTACTCAATTATTAAAGTTGATCGACATTAATAAATTATTAGAATTTTTTAATAAATAATTATTATCATTATTATTATTAATCGACGTGTTCGATGATAGAATTTGAATTTTCATGGAAAAACGATTGCGAAATCGATCAATTTTTTTTTTCTGATGTTTTTCAAAATAATTTACGTTTGTACCTCCCCCCCTCTTCCCCCCCAAAAAAAAAATTTTTGGTTGAATTACAAAAGACAATTAAACGACCCGACTCGTGTATAAATAATAATAATAATAATATATATCTACTATCCGATTCTCAAAATTTTTTCAATTGAAGTTTATTAATTACGAAATATTTTTTTAAAAAAAAAAAAAAAAAAAACTTGTGTGTCTTTTGTGTACGTTGAAAAAAAAAATATTTTACACACTTGATAAAAATAATTATTTTATTATTATTATTATTACCATTATTATTATCATTTTTTTTTTGGTAATAATAGTGAAAAAAAATGGTGTTTTCCACACACGATCGGCCTCGAAATTTTATTTTTTTTTTTTCCTTTTTTTTTTTTTTTAATAACAATGTTTGTGTGTGTGTGTGTGTGTGAAATATTGACGTAACATAAAAAAATTTTGATTTCTATATTTCACCCACATATATAAATAAAATGGCCAATATTTTAATTATATAATTAATTATCATTATTATTATTATTATTATTTTGTTTTAATTACAATTCTTCATTATCAATTTATCATTAAATTTAGAAAATAATAGAAGTATATTTCTAATGACTTTTTTTTTTTTTCTAAATTTAATTTTAATTAAAATTAATTCTATGAGAGTTTTTGTTCTCTCTGTCTAATTTTTTTACATTTTCTTTCTTTTTTTTCGCGGGAGGTGGGGAGAGAGAGAGGGAAGAGGGGGCAGAGGAAAGTTCATTAATTTTTAAATTATTTCCTGCCTTTTTTTTTTCCAATTTTTATTTTTTATTTTTATTAAATAAATTTTATTACAATTATCGATCATAGAAAAAAAAAAAAAGATGAAACGTTCGATTATAAATTTTTTTTAAAACAATAATAATAATAATGATAAATTATGTAAAATATATACGAATTAATAATAATATTTTCGATGATTTCCCGCCATTTTTTTTTTGTCTTTTTCGAATCGATTTTAATATCCTTTTAAAATTTTTTAAAAATCGATTTTTTAATTGTTTTTTTATTTATAATATTTCCGTTAAAGTTAAATAACAAAAGAATTTTATTATTATTATTATTTGCTTTATTAATGTTAATAATAGTAATTATGGCGACGTTTAGTTTAATAAGTTAAGTAATTGATAAAAAAAAATTTCCAAAAAAAAAAAAAAAAAAAACAGGAAAAGGAGGATAGATAGATTAAAATGTATAATTAATTAAAAATTTTCAAAAAATTTTGATATGAATAAAATATTATTATTATTATCATCATGGAAATCAATTAAAAAAAATTTCGCATTTCACACTTTTATTTAAATATTATTATTATTATTATTATTTATCTTTTATAAAAATTACGTAATAATTTTTTATGTAAAAGTATCATATTTGAGTACCTAATTTTTAACATTTCGTGTTATCCTTGCCACAAAATTATGCAAACAATTTTTTTTTTTTTTTTAACTCGTACAATTATTTTTTCTTTCTATTTTGTCGTGAGTTTAAAAAAGAAAAGGACATATCGAGTTGGATGTTTAAATCAAATGATATTTATCTTTACAGCAAAAAGAGATGCCCGATAATAACGTTCTTTTAATGTAAATTCTCAAACGAAACAAAACAAAAATCCATGTTTTGAATAAATAAATAAATATTTAGGAAATGGTTTCCCTTCCCCCCTCTCCCCACCCCCACCCCCCGGTAAAAATATAAACAATCATTAAATATTGTTTTATTTATTTATAAAAAAAAGGAAAAATTTAATTAAATTTAAGAACAATTTAATAATAATAAAAAAAAAAAAAAAAAACTAATATTGGAAAAGGAGGAAATTAAAATCGACAAAAGTTCGTGTAATAAGACACAACCACGTGACTTTTTTGTTTTCATTGTTGCCAAATTTCGCCAAAGTCGCGCCATTTTTGTTTGTTTTGATAATAAATAAATAAATACTTATTTATTTTAAAAGCGTAAAAAAGGTTTTATTAATAATCGAAACCGAAAAAAATTTTTTTTTTTAAATTTCAAATGTTTGTGCGTAGGGAGAGGAAGGGAGGAAGTTAAAAGTAGAAATAAAAGCCGCCATTAAAAGCCGAAAAATAAAATTTAATCGAATACAAAACAACAAAAGGTCATAAAGGCTACCGAAACAGAATATTAATTATATTAAATATTTTTAGATAGTAAAAAAAAAAAAAAAAAAAAAGTCAACAACCCTCGTTTCCTTTTTCACTTTCAAACAAAATAAAAAAAAAAAATTTAAAAAAAAAAAAAAAAAACTTGGGAAAAAATCACACGGACACAACTTTATAATAATAATAATAATAAAAAACTACTTTTAATTGTTTTTTATTTTGTTGTTGTTGTTGTTGTTGTTAAATAAGGAAGTCGTTTAAGTTAGTTATTTATTTTTTTTTTTTTTTTTTTTTTACCTTTTGTTTCTTTTTGTAGTTTGCTACGTGTTTTTATTAATGCAAAGAAAAAGAAAAAGAAAAAAAAATTTTCCCAGTGCGAAATAATATAATTTTGACAATATTATATACTTTATTAACTTTCTCTTTTTTTTTTAATTGCAAGTTAAAGGTTTTTTTTTTTTTAATTTTTTTTTTTTTTTGTAAACGAATCCATATTTAAATTTTTTTAATTAATGAAAAAAAAAAATCATTAATGGTTTTTAACGAATAATTTTTTTTTTTTAATAACATTGAAACGTTTTCATCTTCATCATATAATTTTTATTAAATAAATTTTTTAATATTATTAATCCTTTATTAAAATAAATTTTATGAGGATGTAAAGTTTGGAAATTATTTTAATATTGAATTAAATTTCTACAAATGATTTTGAAGCTCGTTGAAAAAAATATATAAAAATTCATTTTTTTGTTGTATAAGACATATAATTAAATTAAATAATATAAAACTTTGTTTGAATTGTTAATTAGTCATTTAACGTGAAACTAAATACATATAATTATCATTTTATAATTTAAAAAAAAAAAAATTATAACAAAAGAATTATAAAAAAAATGTTTAAATAAATAAATAAATAATATTGTCATGAATGACAATTGTGTGAAACAGGAAGAATTAAATTTTTTTACCAAATATTTATTATTTAATAAATTTTTTAAAATTTAAATTTCATAACGATATTGAGTAATAATTATTTTATTATTATAAAAATTATTTAAATCAACACCAACAACAACAATAAAAAAAAAAAAAAAGAAAAACAACAAAATTGTTACACTTTTGAAATTTTACACATTTATTTTATTTTTTAGGTTTTTTTTTTAGTATAGTTTTCTCTCTCTCTCTCTCTCTCTCTCTCTCACACACATATCTTTGATCTTAGAATTTCTCTCAATTATTATTAAAAATAATAAATTATAGAAAACTTTAAACTTTTTTCTTTTATTCCATTTTTAGTTTAGTTTTTTTTTTTTTTTTTTTTTTTTACTAAAATTTTAGTTTTTATATATTTAAAAACCTTAAATTTTAACTAAAAAATTAATTAAAACTAGGTAATTAGTCAGACCTGGTTTTCCAAAGTGAAATTTTCATTACTTTTTCATCTTCAAAAGAATTTTTTTATAATTATTATTGATAATTATATTGATAATGAATATAATAATTTTATAATTATAATAAAAATTAATTATTCATAAACTTTTAATAATTATATTTATTTTAAAACGCATGAATACAATTGCCAAAAAAAAATTAAAAAAAAATTATTATTCATTTGAATTTTTATATTATAAATTAATTATGTGTAAAACTTTAATTAATTACAAAGTTAATTGCTTGGATTAAATTAAAAATGAAAATAAAATATCATTGCAATTATAATTACTCGGAATTAAAAGAAAAAAAATCTTAATTAACTTAATGAGGAAATGGATTAATTTAAATTAATAAATACATAAAAAAAAAAAAAAATTCTCATTCTTGAATGTTGAATTTTTTTGGAGGTTTTAATTAATATTTAAAATTTTTATTTTTTTATTTTATGACAAATTTTATATGAAAAGGCTCCCATTTTATTTTTTTTTATTAGTTTAATAAAAAATTACTTAGGGGACACTTGTGGTTATTGATTATTTTGCATTTTTTTCCCATAAATTTAATTTTTTTTAGTTTGTACCTTTTTTTTTTAAAGTTAACAAAGTTTCCAATGAGTAAGTTTTTGTGTACTAAATAATACTTTGATGTTTTCAATACAAAAATTTTTTATCAATCTGTTTACTTTAGGTAACGGTCAATAATTGTTAATATCTTGTACTGAATTGTGAATCTCAATGTTAAAGTACATCATAATTATAGATAATAGTTAAATTGTTTATCATATAGAAATCTTGCATATATCATAAAAAATTTCTTTTTTAAAAAATATTAACAAACTCAAAACAAAATTGTATAAACCATTATAAAACTATTTGTATTTGTATTGTTATTGTAAAAATTTTTTTGTTAGAAATATTAACCTTTTTTAATATATATATATATCCATAAAATTTATTCTTATTAATTTTAAAACGAAATCAGTTTATGATAAATCGGTTAAATTAATTATTTCAATTATATAAAAATAAAAAAATAGTATAATAAATAATTGCGCGAAAATTATTTAAATGTCCGCCATTTTGATAAATTTCTTGCCATAGAGATAAATTATAAAACGCTTAAAAATATAATTAGTTGACAATGGCGCCAATTTCTTTGTAAACAAAATTGTAATTTTTATTCATAAAATTATTATTATTTTATTTATTAGTTAATGATGAAAGCTGTAGTACCTGAAATTGCATGGCATAACAAAAGTCCAGTTTTTTCGATAGATATTCAATCAACCTACAATAAAGGATTTTATCGTGCTGCAACAGGTGGAGGTGACTCTCATATTGTGGTAAGATCATTAAAAAAAATTTTATCATTAATTTTTTATTATTACTTTTTAAAAAATTTGTATTTTTTGCATTAATTTTAAATATTTTTTTTTTTTTCAAAATTTCAGTTGTAAACTAGTTTAACTTATTTATTAACTTTCTTTAACAGGTTTGGCATTTGGTTATAAATGAAGAAACTAATGAAATAGCTGCCAATTTTGTTGCTGATTTAGAAAGGCATATCAAAGCTGTCAATGTTGTCAGATTTTCACCTAATGGAGAATATTTAGCTTCAGGAGATGATGGTAAGTATTTTTTTAAAAAGACTTTTTATTACAGTACTCATTTAGTAATTTGAGATATATTAATTAAAGATGCTGTAATAATAATATGGGCTATTAAGGAAGCTAATTCAAGCAGTAACAATTTCAACAATGATAACATCAATAAAGAAAATTGGATGTCTATAAAAACACTTAGAGGACATAAGGATGACATATACGATATTTGTTGGTCACCTTCGTCGAATGAATTATTAAGCGGCTCTGTAGATAATACGGCTATAATTTGGAATGTTGAAAATAGTAAATGTTTATTTTTTTTTAAGTAATCTAAATGAAATGCTTACATTATAAACAAAAAAAATGGCAATAATAATAATTTTCAGGTAAAAGCATAGGAGTTTTAGGAGAACACAATGGATTTGTTCAAGGTGTAGCTTGGGATCCGAATAACAAATGTGTTGCTACTCTTAGCTCAGATAGAGCAATGAGAATATTTAATGCCAATTCGAAAAAAATAATTGCCAAAGTTACAAAAGGAAAATTTAGTAAGTTAAAATTTTGCTTCTTTTATAATATGCACCCAATCTTTAAATATTTTTTCTTTTTTTTTTTTATTTATAAATAAATAAAACTTTTTTTTTTAAGGTCAAGATTCGAATGGGGATGATAGTATTAGATTATTTCACGATGATACTGTCAAATCGTTTTTTAGAAGGCTTAATTTTTCACCAGATGGAAATTTAATATTTGTACCTTGTGGTATTTTTATGGATAATGAAAATGAAGCAAAACAACCTATTAATGTTACTTATATTTTTTTAAAATCGAAACCAGACAGGTAAGTTACAAAAAATTGTATTAAAATAGAATGAAGTAATTATTAAATTTAATTATTTTTTTGTTTTTTTTTCAAGGCCAATTCTTCATCTACCATCCCCCGATGAATATACAATCGCTGTTAAATGCTGTCCAATTTTATTTGAATTGCATCCAGGAGAATCAAATTTGTTTTCTCTACCTTATCGAATGATTTTTGCCATTGCCAGCAGAAAATCGATTGTCTTGTATGATACACAGCAAACTGTTCCCTTTGCCTTTGTCACTGACATTCATTACGCCACGCTTACTGACATTTCCTGGTAAGATAAAATTTTAAAATGGCATTTAAAATAAGATAAATTTCCTTTTATTCTAATTGAAATTACCTTTTAGGTCTTCCGATGGAAGATTGTTAATAGCTTCTTCTTCTGATGGTTATTGCACAATTATCACTTTCAACAAAGAAGAATTAGGAATTCCATATTCTGAAGTATCAATTAAAAAAAATATTGAAGTAAATTAACATTTTATAACATAATTATTTTTTTATAAAGTAATTTGACTACTACATAGAATTCTCATTATTGAAATTTTTTTTTTAGAGTAACCTTGAAGAATTGGGCGTTGAAATTTTGGAAAAGAGTTTGGAGGAAAAGGAAGGGTTAAATTGTTCATCGAAAAGTAACGAGGTTATCGTACTCGACAACAGCATACAAGAAAAATCTACCCCCGCATCAAATGGTGTTGATAATAATGGAAAAAATGATCGTCCCGTATTTGTATTAAAAGTAAAAAGAAAAGAAAAAGTTGTTGATAGTGTTAAAGAAGTGGAAAAAATGGAAGTCGACGACGAACCCGTTGTGTTATCAGAACGTGATACAAATTCTCCCGAGGGAAAACCTTCTACGTCTACAAATCCATCAACATAATAATAAATTTTAGCATTTATATTTTATTCGGTATCATAATTAAATTAATAATAATAAAATTATCAAGATATATAAATGCGTATTACAATGAGATGAGGTGAAACCACATACGCGGCCATGAATTTTTTTTTCTCCGGTGAAAAAAAAAATCTCCGATATTTATTTAATTTATATAAAATCATCATAAATAATTTAGAGTTATAGCAAATCGAGTAATAAATTTTTTATGTTCCAATTTTAATTTTTTTCAATCGTAAAATAAAAAGAAAAAATTTCGAGCTCGAATTTAAGAATGTGTTTTGATGTATCGTCATAGCAACCCTCATATTAAAATGTAAGCAAATAAATGAGGTTTCGCTAAAAAATTTATCTGATTATAATTTATGGGGGGGGGGGTGTCATTGAACTTTACCGCGAATTTCACTTTTAAAATTTAATTATTATTATTATTATTTTTTTTGTTTACGCGTTATAAATATTATTAATTAAAATACAGATAAATTTTTGTAAATAAACAAATTTTTTTTTTTTTATGTAAAGAAAATTATTTTTTTTTGTGTTTTATTAAATGAATTCGTTTATTAATAATAATAATAATAATGTACATGACAAAAGAAGGGGGATGTGGTTGGGAAAGGGGGGGGGGAAATT